TTAAAGTCTCTCACTACCACTGTGTTGGAGTTAATATATGCTTTTAGGTCCTTTAGGGTATGTTTGATGAAACTGGGTGCGTTGACATTGGGTACATATAGGTTGATAATTGTTCTTTCTTTTTGGTCTGTTTCCATTTTCATTAGTATGGAATGTCCTTCTTTATGTCGTTTGATCAATGTAGGTTTGAAGTCTACTTTGCCAGAGATAAGTATTGCTACTCCTGCCTGTTTTCAGGGGACATTGGCTTGGTAACTCTTCTTCCAGCCTTTCATCCTAAACCTATACTTATTTCTATTGATGAGATGGGTCTCCTGTAAGCAATAAGTTGTTGGATCTTTCTTTTTAATTCAGTTTGTCAAACGGTGACTTTTGGTGGAGGAATTATGTCCGTTTTGCCTGTTTTTATGATAGTGTGTTCCTGCTCATGCCAGTTAATCCTTACCAAAACAATGAAAGACAAGTATTTTATTCAGCCATGAAGAAGGATGCAATCATGTCATTTGCAGGAAAATGGGTGTAACTGACGATCACCATGTAAAGTGAAATAAGTCAAACTCAGAAAGATAAATACCACAAATTTTGTCTACTATGCAGAACCTACATTTTAAAAAAAGATGAAAGTAGAAGGGGTTCTGTTTGGGAAGAGAAAAGGGAGACAGGCAAGTGAGAGGAAACTGTGGAAAAGATAGGATAATGGGTGGTTAATAGGATCATTATATACATATATGAAAATGTCATAATGAAACCCATTACTTTGTATGGTTAATATATGCTAATAAAAATAAGTGAATCATTGTTCTAAAAAGAGATATTATTGTTACTTCCTTCTTATAGAAGAGGAATAATCTGAGTGTCCCATCACTATGTTTGTAATATGTATCAAATATATATTATACATTACCTGTTCTGAGTTAGAAACTTTAGATATGTGAATCTTAAAAGACAGTTGAAAATCTGAGTGTGGTGGCTCACACAGATAATGCCTGCTACTTGGGAGGCAGAGATTAGGTAGGTCATGTTTCAAGGGGTCTTCTCTCCATGATCAGCAAGACTCCAGATGTCAAAACCTCAAAAAGGACAAAAAATAAAAAGGTATTATTTAGACATTAAAATTTATCACTACATATATGTAAATAGCTATAATTAGATGATAACTGTCCACATTTTCAACATCATTTTACTTAGTGCATGCAGTATATTAAGCATTGTGTTTGCAGTAGAAAAGAAGAGACCATCAAATGTGGTTCCTGTCCTCACAGGGTTCACATCTAGTGGAGGAAACAAACCCAGAATAAATGATTGTAGAAACAGGTGATGTGAATAGTCAATTTCAGGTTGCAATAGTCTACAGGAAGGAAGCTTGGTAGTGGACCTGGGAAGAACAGGAAAAGAAACAGTAGCTCAGAACCTATTTGTCAAGTTTCTTTGCCACAGTAGAGAGGGAGAACAAAATGAGCATCTGAAACCAGAAAGCAATTAGAACTTTAGACATCACCTTCTTTTTTCAAAAAAAAAATTAGGATATATTTGTCGTATGGGGGGAATTCATTGTGACAATTCCAAATAGGCTTATGTTGTACATTGGTTAGATCACCCCCACTGTAACTCCCTCATGACCTACTCCCCACCCCACTTAAAGCAATTGAAAGAGATTTCTTTGTTCCATTTCATGTAATATGAAGCCCATCAACCATATACCCTTACTTTCATCTCTTTCATTCACTTTCTTCCCTCCCACAAGTACACCCCCTCATACACACTTTGCCTATTTTATAGTCCTGCCTTTCAGTATTCGTATTTATGTCAGTGTTCAAAGGGGTTTCTTAATGTATCCCTGCTGTGAGTATACCCTACTTTGGTCCAGTCAACCCCTTCCATTGCTCTCCCTCACCCTATTACTTGCCAACCCTCATTTTCAACAGGTTTCAATACATATCCTTATATTCTCTACCTACACAGATGTTATATTTTATGACATTGTTGATCCTCTATCATTCTCTTTTCCTTTTCTTCCTTTCTCAGGATCCATAGAGTAGTTCCACTATTACAAATATGTTCTGTGTATGAGTTTGTATATAATCATGTTTGTTTAGTTGTACATGTTTATCTTTTGGATCTGTCTTCCATGTATGAGAGAAAACATGTGACCTGTGTCTTTATGAGCCTGGCTTACTTCACTTAACATGGATACCACCTTATTTTTTAAAAAATTATTTATTGAATAGTTATTGTGTGTCAGGCATTAAGACATCACCTTCTTGATGTCAGCAGTACTCCCAGCCATAAAATCTGGCTCTAGGTCCAAATGCTTGCTAGTATTAGCAGAGTAAGATGATACATAAGCATGTGTGTGTGTGTGTGTGTGTGTGTGTGTGTGTGTGTATCTTATTATTAAAAAGAGCCTCTTCTCCATCTGTGCTTACTATGGAAATGCAACTACTTCACATTGGGGACCTCACTACTACAGAAGGATTGTGTCCAAGAGTGGAGTTCTCTCTTCTTCTTTAAGCCCTCCAGTGGTGGACATGACAGTGATGGCCACAAAACTGGACACTTTTCTGCCATTGGTTTCTCTCTAGGCTCACCAAGAAAGCCAGAAGATTTTCCTAATTATTTTTCTTTCCACTGGTTTCTTCCAAATCTTTTCTCTCTATCATATTAGTGCAATATTACCTTTCTTCAAAAGAAAGATGAGTGACATTCTTTCTTAAAAACAAAATGTGTTCCCTATCAGATGAAATGGGGACTCTTAAATGTAATATAACCATCTCTCAACAGTCTAAATCCAATCTCATGTCTACTTCCTTCCCACACTTCTCCATCAACAAATAATATTTTTGTTCCCAGGATAAACTGGCATTTTTGGTAAGACCTTGTCTTCACTCAGGCTGATCCTTCTACCTAAAAAGTCCTCTCCTTTCTTCACTAACTTCTACCAAACCTTAAAGTGCTTAATCCTTCTTTGTAAAATCCCCCAATTTCCCAGCACAGATTAATTCACTCAGATGCTAGTGCCCTGTGCCAATGTGACCTTGTTTCATAGTGAGGAACACGCTATTTTATGCCACCTGTTTGCCTATCTGTCCCACCATTTGAATTAAAATTCCCTCAGTGGCAAAGGTTGTATTCTTCCTCTTTATGTGCCTAGTACTTAGCAAGATGTTTGACTGGGAGAAAGAGCAAAAGCAGAAATAATAATAATAATGTCTAACATTCACTGAATTCTGACAGTGTTGTAAGTGACATTCTAAGCTTTTATCTACATTAACTAATTTTATCATCACAATCCAAAGGAGTGTGTAATACTGTCATTCCCATCTTTCAAGCAAGGAGAGGAGATTGAAAGGATAAGTAACTTGCTGATAGAGACACATAATAGGTAAGAAGTAAGGGCATATTTTAGTTAGAATGCAGTGAACCTCTCTCCACCTTTGTTTCTTTCTAAAAATTTCATAGAAGGTACATTTACTCTGTGAGAGACTTGGGAGAAATTGTTACACAGGTGCATAACCCACAATTGAGTGGGAAATTTACTGGATCACACACACTCCTAGAGAAGTCCTCCTTGGGTTGGAAATAGTGCAGGAAACAAGTTATCTTATTTTCTTTCCACTAATCTATTTAAAATCAGCAAGAGTAGGGACATGAGGCATAATAGTGATATTATACAGATATTTTCCTATAAATAAATTATATCTCATGAAAAATGACTTAATATGTGACCTTCCACCTACAGTTAGCAATTGACTATATTACAATGAGTGTCATATATAAAAGGGTCTGGAAGTTTATGTAAATATATGCATTTCACTATTTTGGTACACCTTTCTTAGGAATGATAAATTAAGCTGTCATTGCTTACAGTTGAGTTCACCCACAAGGAAAGACATTAGAGAAGTTAATTGGGAAAAAACATTTTGTGTTTATCTTTGGTCTTACAGGAATATTTTTATGGAGTACTTGAAATCATATGCTCCTACTGATCTGATGAGCTCTGAACCCTAATTATATATTTAGTAGTAACAATAGGACTTTTTGCATGTTGCTTCTTCTATGATTATATTTATCTATGTAGTCTTCAAAAGGAAGACATGGTAATATCTATGTCAAGGAAATGCTATAAGCATTAGAAAGAGGATCTGAGGGTGATCTGCTGTAACATATACTACCTATTGATTGCTCTGATTGATTTAGCTGATCTGGCTGGCCAGGCAGGTGTCCCCTTCCTCCCTCACTGCTCCACGTGTGTTCTTTGTTGAAGTGGACAAGCTTCTCCAATAGAGCTCAAGAGTGCAGGAGTACCTGTGTCCTCCTTCTACAACCTCTAAGCAAACAATAAGAAAGATCATTGCTGATAGTTTCATGGGCATGCAGCCTGTGTTGTTTTGAAGGGCTACTTTTGATTAATGGTCTGTTGTCACTGATTTTAAATTGTTCTTAATTTTTTAATATGGCACCTTATGTTTTTAAATTGCACTGAGTCCTCCAAACTATATAGCCATTACTGATAGGATTATTCTTGAATTCCAAAGTGCACAGTGCCTGGCATATAGCATAACCTTCACTGAAACATTAATCATTACTAATTTTGCAAAGGAGATTTTAGTTTTCTGGGTGTAGTCCCGAAGTTCTATTTTCTGACCTTTTCCAGTCTGTTGGAGATACTGAAGCTAGTGATGAATTTCATCACATACATCTTCATGCATTTAAGTTATACTTAAGAAACACTTCATTAGGGCCCCCAACTCATTGGTTCATTTCTCTGTGAGTAATCATTTGCTGGAGTATGGGCTGTGTATAGTTGCTAATTTGCACCACAGAAATGTTTTTCCATAAATAATGGACCACATAGCTCAACAAGAGACATTAGAGTCATTGGCTCTTTTAGTTTGAACAAATAGTGGCATTAGATGGTACATGGTATCATTGACATTACTCCAGAAAGACATTTGGAGAAGATCTAACACTCTTGTATTGTTGTTTTTATTATTTTTCAGATTATTTGAACTCCAGAAGGACCAACACCAGATAAATTATGAATGTTGAACAAGATGACCTTACATCCACAGCAGATAATGATAGGTCCTAGGTTTAACAGGGCCCTATTTGACCCCCTGCTTGTGGTGCTGCTGGCTCTTCAACTTCTTGTGGTAGCTGGTCTGGTACGGGCTCAAACCTGCCCTTCAGTGTGTTCCTGCAGCAACCAGTTCAGCAAAGTGATTTGCGTTCGGAAAAATCTGCGCGAGGTTCCAGATGGCATCTCCACCAACACGCGACTGCTGAACTTACATGAGAACCAAATCCAGATCATCAAAGTGAACAGCTTCAAGCATCTGAGACACTTGGAAATCCTCCAGTTGAGTAGGAACCATATTAGGACCATTGAAATTGGAGCCTTCAATGGTCTGGCGAACCTCAATACTCTGGAACTCTTTGACAATCGTCTTACTACCATCCCAAATGGAGCTTTTGTATATTTGTCTAAACTGAAGGAGTTGTGGTTGCGAAATAACCCCATTGAAAGCATTCCTTCTTATGCTTTTAATAGAATCCCTTCTTTGCGCAGACTAGACTTAGGGGAATTGAAAAGGCTTTCATACATCTCAGAAGGTGCCTTTGAAGGTCTGTCCAACTTGAGATATTTGAACCTTGCCATGTGCAACCTCCGAGAAATCCCTAACCTCACACCACTCATAAAACTAGATGAGTTAGATCTTTCTGGGAATCATTTATCTGCAATCCGGCCTGGTTCTTTTCAGGGGTTGATGCACCTTCAGAAACTGTGGATGATACAGTCTCAGATTCAAGTGATTGAACGGAATGCCTTTGATAACCTTCAGTCACTAGTGGAGATCAACCTGGCACACAACAATCTAACATTACTGCCTCATGACCTCTTCACACCTTTGCATCATCTAGAGAGGATACACCTGCATCACAACCCTTGGAACTGTAACTGTGATATACTGTGGCTCAGCTGGTGGATAAAAGACATGGCCCCTTCCAACACAGCTTGTTGTGCCCGGTGTAACACTCCTCCCAATTTGAAAGGGAGGTACATTGGAGAGCTCGACCAGAATTACTTCACATGCTATGCTCCTGTGATTGTGGAGCCCCCTGCAGACCTCAATGTCACTGAAGGCATGGCAGCTGAGCTGAAATGTCGGGCTTCTACATCACTGACATCCGTATCTTGGATTACTCCAAATGGAACAGTCATGACTCATGGGGCATACAAAGTGCGGATAGCTGTGCTCAGTGATGGTACATTAAATTTCACAAATGTAACTGTGCAAGATACAGGCATGTACACATGTATGGTGAGTAATTCTGTTGGAAATACTACTGCTTCAGCCACTCTGAATGTTACTGCAGCAACCACTACTCCTTTCTCCTACTTTTCAACTGTGACAGTTGAGACTATGGAACCTTCTCAGGATGAGGCACGGACCACAGATAACAACGTGGGCCCTACTCCAGTGATCGATTGGGAGACCACCAATGTGACCACCTCTCTCACGCCACAGAGCACAAGGTCAACAGAAAAAACATTCACCATCCCAGTGACTGACATGAACAGTGGGATCCCAGGAATTGATGAGGTCATGAAGACTACCAAAATCATCATTGGGTGTTTCGTGGCCATCACACTCATGGCTGCAGTGATGCTAGTCATTTTCTACAAGATGAGGAAGCAGCACCATCGGCAAAACCATCATGCTCCAACAAGGACTGTAGAAATCATTAATGTGGATGATGAGATCACAGGAGACACACCCATGGAAAGCCACCTGCCCATGCCTGCTATCGAGCATGAGCACTTAAACCACTATAACTCTTACAAATCTCCCTTCAATCACACGACAACAGTTAACACAATAAATTCAATACACAGTTCAGTGCATGAACCGTTATTGATCCGAATGAACTCTAAAGACAATGTACAAGAGACTCAAATCTAAAACATTTGCAGAGTTACAGAAAACAATCAAAAAAAGACAGTTTATTAAAAATGACACAAATGACTGGGCTAAATCTACTGTTTCAAAAAGTGTCTTTACAAAAAAACAAAAAGAAAAGAAATTTATTTATTAAAAATTCTATTGTGATCTAAAGCAGACAAAATTATGTGTATTCCTCAAAAATCTGTTTTTGCTGCACTTATTTACTATTTTCCCACATCTCGTCCTTCCTTTCCCTGATTGCCATATTTTTCATAGATCTCAATTCCCTAAAGAACTGGTCTAGGAAATTTTGTAAGAATTCTGTTACACTTTGAGATTTTTATGGTGAATTCTAGTGGTGAGATCCAGTCTATTTTGTCTCTCTCTCTCTTTCTCTTTCTTTTTTTTTCTTTTTCCTTCATGCCCTTATGAAGTAGTCCAATGGGGAATGCAATATTAGAAATAGATTTTTAAGAAAGAATGAGGAAAAATGCAAGATCTTATATTTTTAATGTAATGACCTGTTCTGTATTTATGAGAAAGACCATTCTGTAGAAAGGGAAAAAATTAAGCAAACAACAGATTAATTTACATATGAGCATCTATAAAACCCATGACTTTTAAACAATTCTAGAATCAGAATTTGTAGTTCAACAGCTTAAAATAAGATTATAAATAAAATATTGTTGGTTTTTCTGTACCTGGACACAATTCATTTTTAGTATGACTCACATGTGAGAAACATGAACGTAATTAGATTTTCTACTTTCTATGAAAGAAAATACTGCTGCATTCTTTAGTCACAGCATCCATATGTACAAGGTCCTGCTTCTTTAGTTGACTTGAGTTTCAGGTCAGTATACAAGGATGGTGTGGAATTTTTTTCCATCTCATTAGGGTTACCCTTTGTAAATGATCAGATAAGAAAAGTGATTTTATGAAGCAAATTCAATACCATTTTGAAGAATAAGTATAATTTATTTACTGTCTCCTAAATAAAATTCTATTGTCTAGAGGAGGAAATATGAACACAAAAGATGGAAGGAGTCTAAATTATCTGCAATTGAACAAAAATGTTTGGTTCTGAGTGTTGGTCGATTCAATGATAATTATTAAAGATTTAGTATATGCTAAATACTAATTTTGGTATTCTGCATACACAAATGACAAGACCTCGTTACTGCCCTTGAATCATTCCCAATCTATATAAAAATGATTAAAGGAATAATCTCAGTTTATTACTGAGGAGCAGATCTAATTTCATTATTAGGTGAGAGTTAGTATATTGGGTCCCTACAGCTTCAAAATATTAGATTATTGTTTTTACACAAACTTCCTGGATTCATGTTTCTTCCATTTTTTGGTAGAGTTGAATTTCACTTTCAAAATTCAGATTCTTGAGCTTCAAATCTACATTGGTATGGGTTCTCTCTAAAGGATGGATAAATACCAGCAGATAGCAGTGCAAATACAGTGGTATTTTTAAAGAACAGGAGACATTTTAGGTAAGAAAATATATACTAGCTCCAAATTTAAAAAAAATGAATTTGCTTGTTGTACACATTAGCACTCCCTTGGTATTTTAATGTCATTGTGTGATCTCTATCTTTCTCTTTGTGAAACAAAGTGAATACATGTACATCTTATTACTCACCTTGACAAAAAAGCCGCCACCTCAACAGTGAAGCAAGAATCGACTAAACTAAAGAAAACTCAGCTCCTAATTGATGGACTGCTTGGATACTCACACTTAATTCTGCAGGCTGGATCTCACACTAGGGCATTGTGGTCTCCAGGTGTGAAAAACCAATCATTACAAGCAAAGTAGGTCAGAGAAATGTGAGGAAAGGACAGCAAATGAATGAGAGAACACAAAAGCCCTGCTTCTATTTTTTGGTCACCCATTCTCTGGCTTTTTTCTTCCTCATCTCCTACTTCTCTTTGCTAAGAATATGATTCACATTTCCTTTTACTAAAAAAAATGGAAAACATGTTGGATATGTTGATTTATTTAGTATTGAATATATTTAATATTGTACTTAAAAGTTCCAGCTGCCACGCATCACACACACACACACGCACACACATACACACACAAAAGGAACAAGGTAAATCTAAAGCAAGGGCTAGTACAAAGAAGAGTGGTATAAATTAAGAGAGAGAAGATTCTTGTTTCTCTATCTGGACTGTGCACACCAAACTCTGTCTACTGATTCTGAACCTGTGTGGTTTTGAGTTTATAACCATATGAGGTTAGTCCCAGCATGCAATTCCCTTGACTGTAGCTGAGGAGTTAGACCCATTCTACTAAAGAGAATAAAAGGTGATCTTAAACTAAAAAACAGGTCAGAATTTAAAGCATATGATTCAGGCCACCAGCAGATTATAGGATTATAATAGTGGCCATGAACACATTTTACAAAAAAAAAAAGGGCTTTGGTGGAAGATTTAAGTTAATTAAACTTGACTTCCACAGTAAATTCAGAAACTCTTTTAACAGAAGAGCCTCAATGCACCTTTGGGAAAGAAGAATGAAGTGCTACAAAAATATTGAAAGGAAGCAGAAGTGGATTCTATATCTTTTCTGACTACTAGATGTCTATTTGCCCATCAAAACAGTAAATGACTTCGTTTGTTAAAGACATATTATGGAATTACTTGGATCTGCAGGTCTATATAATTGTTTACATACATGATACATCCTTGCAGTAAAACACAATTGTATTTCCACTGCTCTCTTCATTCTGTGCAAGGACAACTAGGCAGAAGTATTCAGAAATATGTGCACCAAAATTATGATATTTATGACTAACCAAAGTAACCAAGTTAAGTAATCCAATGATGATTTGTGTGTGTGTGTGTGTGTGTGAAACAGGAAGGAGAGGAAGGGAAGGGAGGGGAGGGGAAGAGAGACGAGAGACAGGAGAGGAAAGGAGAGATCCTAAGTAATGGTATTAGTGGTATGCAGTTTGCTTAGGGAAACATCAAAGATGAGTTTGGAAAGATTTTCCATTATCCAACTTTTGTTTTTTTCTGTTTGGAAATCTTAATCTTCGCACCGAGCTATGTCCTGGGTCTTTTGAGATCTTCTGAAGACTTCCAAATGTACTTGCCTTGGCAAAGCACTAGAGGTATTTTGTATAACTCACACACACTGTCTCTGATAGAGCTTTAATAATTTTCCCTTATATTTCAGATACTCTAGAATTAAATATCATTATTCCAAAGACTGACATGGGTCATTTGAACATGAGCAATGATCAACATTTTTTTTATTCATATGTGCGTACACTGTTTGGGTCATTTCTCCCCCTGTCTTACACCCCCTTTCTCTCCCCCGCCCCCTCTCTAGTCCAGGCAGAACCTGGTCTGCCCTCAATGGTCAATATGTTTATGGGATAAAATATTGCTACTCTGTGACTGCTTTTAGCCTTAAAATCAGAGAGTCAAAATTAAGATATAACTCGAGACATTACAGTGTGATATTATTAACATAGATGTACTTGAAAATAACCTCATAGTGGAAGGGATATTACCTGGGAGAAAGAAAAGAAATAAACCATCTTATAGAAGAACTTATTCAAATCTGAAAAAATATTAAGTTGGTAACCACAGAATATTCAGCATTTGCAAGGTAAATATTGACCAAGGTGGAAAAAAAATCCATTTGCTGTTATGCTTTTGGAATAATCCTCAAGATATTTAGGTAGGTAGAAGTATTAGATGAGTGCTTGCACACACAGTACTCTAAAGCAATATAATTTTTAAATTTGTTCAATTGGTTATTTGGTTCTTTGGCTTATTGTTTGTGTGTGTGTGTGTGTGTGTGTGTGTGTTTGTGTGGTACTGGAGGTTGAACTCAGGGGCTTATTAGGCAGAAGCTCTACCATTTAAGCCATGGGTCCAGCCTTTTTTTGTGCAGGTAGTTTTTGAAATAAGGTCTTTGTTTATGCCTGGGCGGACCTGGACTGCAATCCTATTTGTGCTTTCCAATGTACTTGGGGATGACAGGCACAGACCACAACATGCAGTGATGGTTGAGATCTGGTCTCACGAACTTTTTGCCCAGACTGGCCTCAAGCCATGATCCTTCAGATTTCTGCCTCCTGAGTAGCTCAGATTGTAGTCTTGAGCCACTGTGCCTGACTAGCTTGCTGGCTTTCATATGGACCTTGTAGATAATGCTACCATTCGTTATCATTGATATAACATATGCATGAATAAGCTATGAGTCATACTCTTCTAGAAAGCCAATTATCTTTTTTAAAATATAACATAGCAGCACAGTCAATTCTCTGAGAAACATCTCCAAAAAACTATGTACATATTACTTTATTTGGTTAGAATGTGATTTCTGTATAATAGCTACTTCTGACAAAAATGAGCCTAAAAAGTTACCTTGCAAAAATCGAGGTACCTTCATTACTTTGATTAAGAAGAAATATGAGCTCACCAGTACTATGTTAGATAGAAGGCAGATGTGACACTATTGTCTTGCTGTGCTCTATTAGGATACAGACCACAATACATCTGGCTCTGTGAGAGACAAAAGAAGTCTTCTAAAATTAATATAGCATCGTCAACTAGGATCCAAATTTAGACAGTATATGAAGCATTTTCACAACACATACCAATTCAGTTCTTCTTGCTTCTTAAAGTGAAGTTGACAGAACTGAAATTTCTTAGCATTATTTTAAAAATATATAGAAATCATACTTAAAACTATGATTAAATTTGAAAATTTTAGCAGTAGTATATAAAATGACTATTCATTTTACTTTTGTAAGGGTCAAAGGTTACTGCAAGACAGATAATAAATGAAACTATTTTAATGAAGGTGCAATATATTAAACACCCTGCTTTGTAATTTTGGGCATGTTCAGTAAATATGCCCATCCATATATCCTCTGCACAAAACACAGAAACCAAGAAACTGAAATCTCAAACCAGTCATATTTTTCAATATTTGATTTGTTCACATTTCCAATTATTAATTCCTCACTTCATTATACATTTAAAGATGAAGTGCTGAACTTAACTTGTCCAAATGACATCAATTCTCCCTCTATCTCCTTGTAAGAAAAGTCATGAGTTTATGGGGGTTTTAATCCTGATGGAAAGGAA